CATTTAAAAAAATTCTCTAGCAGTAGATATAAAGTAACATACGCAGTCTGTGATTTTGTCTCATTGTATGCAAGTTGTGCACACTCTGAAATTTAAAAAGGAAGTCTTTTATCAGCAACAAACTGCTTCTGATGATGATATCATTCCTGTGACACCCAAAGAGCAGAGCTACAGGATTTGGACCTACATATCCATGTCTCTTTGGCCTTCTAGAAACATAAGGTCCCAGTTTGTTTCCCTAAGGCTTCTGGGAGCTTAGCTGATGCTGACCAAAGGAAAGAAGCACGTGCCAAAACAGAAAAAAGATGATGAAAAGGATAATAAATTATTAGAAGAATCTGCCTGTTGTTATTCTGGATATTGCTGAATTTATGGTTGCTGTGAATGTTCAATTTCTAGAGAGAGGTTTTAGACAATGAGAAGAAATCAAATTCTTGATATGACTTCTTGATCTGCTTACTCAGATATAAATAAAATTAGTCTTCCACCTCAAAAAATGTGCATAAGAAATTTATTTATATGTACTCAGCATGAAGCAGAAACTAGTTAAATTACTTTCTTGAACTACAACTCTTAGAAACCCTCAGGCACTGGTTCAGATTATTCATATAAAATGTCTCATCCAGTCCTTCCCATCTTTTTTTCTGCTATAAATCACAATATAGCATAGCAGTGAAACAAAACCTACATATATGGGGATGGGGGTTTAAGAATCAGGTGGCAGCCTGGATTGGCACTCACTTGTGTATGTGTGTGTGGAAACTTATATATGACAAACAAAGAAAGTTTTAAAAGGATTTTTAAGTTATAATAAAATATTCAGTCTTCATCTCTGAAGAAAATGATACCTTATTCTACACACACACACAGTCCCAATTTCTGCAACTTGGTCTCATTTGCCTCTGCATTTTCTCCCCTGTATTTCAGGGTGTGTCATTCCTGCGGTACTGTTGTGGTGTTTTCATTGATTTGGGGCGAGTGTTACCAGAATCTCAATATGTGCAGCAAAAAGTCATTATTTATCCACATGTAAATGACTCATTCATTCATTCATTCATTCATTCATTCATTCATTCATTCATTCATTCGTGTATTGCTTGCTTGCTTGCTTGCTTTTTTCTACTGCCCAGTTTAATGAAAATCCACTACTCTAGGCAGACACTACTCATCCCCTCACTACTCAATGCCACCTGCCTCCAGAAACAAAAACAAATAACAAACTCAAACTAAAAATTAAATGATGATGACAGCTCTCTAAAAAATAGAAAAAGAAACTAAGGCATGCGCCAAATCCCTACCCTAAAGGGAAGAATGACCTTAAAAGTTTCTTTGAACAACTCAGTTTACCAACTTCTTAGAAGTCTGGAGGGAGAAGGCCTGTCAAATCTCCAACGGAAGACTATTCCAGAGTGA